GAAAGGATTCCCTTTCCGGTTCATAAAGACTTCTTTTTTGTGTTCGGTCATGGGGAGCGGGAGCGACGACTCCCAAACCCCCTCAGGCATGAGAGGCGGTTTGGGGGCGCCGACTCCCCCAAAAATATATTAAAAAAAATAAAAAAACACATTTGATGGCGGACTCCCAAAGTCGGCCATCTTTTGAAAGAACGACTCCCAGCCGACGACCCCTCGACCAAAACGGGAGTCGTCGACTAATTTTTGGGAGTCGTTTTTCCAACCCCCAAAAAAAAAACCAAACCCGTAAAAAAAAATCATATCTCATTTTTTTTACCGCTTCTCTCTCCAATTCCTATCCCCGAATAAAATTCCTAAAAAACAAAAAACTTCCTTCCCTATTTTTTTTATAGTGAATCTACAAGAGAACGCGGAATTAATCCAGCGCTACCTCCTTCATCTTAGATTACGAAAAGAAGAAGCGGATCGCAGCTACATTCCTACGCCTTGGGAAGAGTTATCGGAAGAAGAACAACTCCTTCTTGCCACCTACCACGCTCACATTCATCAGGAAGAAGATCTCGATCAACAGATCAAGTTCCGAGGCTTCCTTCGCGAGATCCGCGAGAAAAATACCCAACTCTGCCGCAAAAGATATCTCGATAAGAGTAAGCTTTCCCTTTTATTATATTTTTTTTTGGCGAAATTAAATCAACCTAATTCCTTCTGTTCTAATTTCTAGTGTCTACCTTTGAGACTGGTGTTATCCGACAAGAACGAGCTAGTCCAACTCCCTCTATAGACACTGATAACGGGTCCTCAGATCCAACAGACAAGAGTTAGTACCTCGTTCCCTTAGAAGCACGTTTTATCGGTGATTGGTGAACTAATAATCATGACTAAATCAACCAGGTCCAACTACACAGACTTACGAGGCCCCCTCCCAGCTCCAACGCGACCTCGCGGCGGCAAAGGAGCTACAAACTTGAGTAGAAAGCCTCCAGATGACAACCATAGCGCGCAAGGGGACAGCAGAAACCCCGACCACGAGCCAAGAAGACCCGAATCGGAATACGGAGAGTCATACGGCCAACGGTGCCACAGAGACGATACGATACGGTATCAGGCGTTTATCTGTATCGTCTCAGAATTTGAATACCCAAAAATACCGGATTTGTGTTGTCTCACTTTCCTGAGACATATACATGTATCGTATTTGAAAAGTGAGAAATGTATTCTGTATCGTCTCAGATGACTGATCCCACCAAAACCGTATTTGATACTTGAGATATTTGGCCGTATTGAAGAAAAAACGAAAAAAAACGAAGACAATTTTTTTTTTTCATTTTTAAATCCAAATCCGATACAATGTATTTTTTCCCCAACCAAGGAAATACTGATACCGGTATCAGGCTCAAAATAATTACGGTACGATCCGATACGAATACATGTCTCGTATCTGTGGCACCGT